GGAGCGTCCTTCAGCACAGCGCCGGCTCCCGTGACACGGCGCCCGGCCGGGCCGCGCCCTTCCTTCCTCTGCATGTCCTGTCTCCCTCTCCCCAGAGCCCCTGCCTTTCCCTTTCTGTCCCCCGATGTCCCAGGCTTCCTCTCTGACCTCGGTGCCCCCTCCCTTTTCTCTGTCTCCGCGGTACTTAGATACTGTTTCGTGCTGTAGAATGGCCTCTCTGGGGGCTTTTGGTCCACCCGCTCACATGGTGAGAGAGGAAGAAACAAAACAGAAATCAAAATCACCAGGGAAAGAGGAGCGCAGAGACAAGGAGAGGCACAGGGGTCAAAAGGAACACCAAAAGTGACACAGGGATAATAAGAATAAAAAGACAAATGAGCTGGGCATGGCGGCGCACACCTGTGATCTGAGCACATGGGAAGCTGAGGCAGGAGGATCGCCATGAGTTCAAAGCCAGCCGGGGCTACACAGTGAGTTCAAGACCAGCCCAAACTACATAGTGAGACCCTGTCTCTACCCGCCTCCCATGAGACAAGATCCAAATCGAGTAATTTAAGAGAGGCGCTTATGCTTTCTTCCATCGCATCTGGACAGCCACAGAGACAGATTTCGCCTGGACCTGCTCTCCTCACCTTTCCATCTCCCGCTGTTGTAGGAGTCCTGCCGTCCCCGTCCCTCCCGCCTGGCCTTGCACCCGGCTTCCCCTCCAGCTCCCTCAGCTCTACCCCCCAATCCATTCCTCAAGTGGCTTCTGGACTCTGTTTCCTTTTTTTTGTCTTTTTGAGACAGGGTCTCCTGTGCAGTTCAGGCTGGCCTTGAGCTCACTTTGTAGCCCAGGGTGCCCTTGAACTCACAACGATCCTCCTGCCTCAGCCTCCTGAGTGCTGGGATTACAGATGTGTGCCAGCATGCCCAGCTTGGACTCTGTTTCCTAACAGGCCTATCTGAGTGGGTTCCCCTCTCACTTAATTTTTTTCTTTCCCTTTTCTCCCCCGAGTGATGGAGAAGGAACCCTGGCTTCACACAAGCTGGACGTATGCTCTTCCCATGTACTACACCCCGGCCCCCTTAGAGGGTTGTGGCTCGCCATTTTATTTACAGTGAGATTCACACCTCTTCTTGGCTCTACACCCTTCCAGGTGCCCTCTTGCCCTCCTCCAAACCATGGTCCCACTCCTTCCATGTGCACCCGCTGCACCCTGGCACACAGGCTGGCGCTTCCTCACCTCTGGCCTTTGCACACATCTGTGCCCACCTGAAGGCCCCCCTGAGCCTCCCCTGCCTCCCTGAAGGCCAGGCCAGGTTCCCTGGCTTTCCTGTGGGTGGCCAGGAGCAAGGTCAGGGAACCACCTTTGGGGCATCCTGGGTGCTCAGTGAGTGTTTGTGGAGTCAAAAGAAAGCTGAGGACGTGGGATGACACTTGCAGGGGAACAGAACAGGGCGCTCCCCGGAACGTCCGGCATGCACAGCACTTTGGACTAAAGGACGAGGGAAGCCTCAGAGGCAGCTTCAGCACCAAGGTCTCTCTGACCTTCTCCCGCCCTCCTCTCTCTTACCCCTTTTTTTCTCCCAAAACAAGCAATTGGAGCTAGAATTCCTCTTCCCCAAGACAGATCATGCAAACTACAACATAGACATACTGAATAAACCTGGAAGTATTACCCCAACGCCCACTCCCAGCCCGCACCTTTCGTGTGACAGCTGGCCATAAAGAAACCCTCCCATCTATCTCGTCTGAGAGTGGGTCTAAAACCCTCTGTCCGGAGGTGTCCTGCACTCACCCAGAGAGAAGAAATGCCACATGGAGGGGCTGGGAGGAAGCTGAATTTTCCCCACGAAGTCCATTGGGTCAGACCCTTGCTGTCTAATCACATTTCTACACATCCACCAATTGGTTGCTTGTCAGGTGTAAGCATACAGCAGACAATGTGCCTTAGGGCTTTGGGCCTTTACTTCTGCTTTGTCTTGCTTGTTTGTTCTGAAAAAGTCTCGGTATCTAACCCATCAAGCTTGTGGTCTTCCTGTCCCAGCCTCCCAAGTGCTGGGATTTCAGACATGTACCACCACCAGGCCTGGCTTGGGTCTCCATTTCTGAAACCCCTTCTGTTACATAAAACTGAGATTAAATAAATCTGGTAAGCCTTTCTCTTGTTAACCTGTCTTTTATAGGAGTGTGGCATGCTACTTGTGAGGAATGAGGGAAGGGTGCGTCCAAGCCCTGCAAAATGAAAAGAACTAATAGCTAAGACTAGCGAAACTTTCAGGCAAAACCACCAGGACTCAGAGGAGAAAAAGAGAGTGAGTAGCCCATGCACACCCAGAACATTAGCTACATGTCAGAGCACACCGAGGTCCTCAGGAACCTGGTGTCAGAACAGCAGCGTGCCCAGTGGGCAGAGGGGATTTAGCCTCTGTCACCACTAGTCCCAGCCCTCTACAGCCCTCCATGAAATCAAAACAGCAAAGGCACAACAATATTTGAAGTGGCCGGCTGGTATTACAGTATCTCAGTCTTATAAAAGTGAATAAAATCATGTTTAGAAACTTCGCTTTTTTAAAACCTGTAATTTAGAAGCTAAGTGAAAACTGACTTAGGTACAAAATTGTTCATATCCTGGGCATGGTGGTGCACACCTGCAATCCCAGCACCCAGGAGGCTGAGGCAGGAGGATCACTGCAAGTCTGAGGCCAGCCTGGGCTGCAAAAGTGAGTTCAAGGACAGCTTGAACTGCATAGCAAAACCCTCTCTCAAAAAGACAAAAAAGATTTAAAAAAAAAAAAAAGAATGTTCATATCAATGTTTTTCACATCAACCAAAAATTGGAAACTGGGACAGGGGTATAGCTCAGTGGTACAGTGCCTGCCTGGCAAGCACGAGGTCTTGAGTTTGATTCCCAATACCAAAAATAATAATAATAATAATAATAATCATCATCATCAAATACCTATCCATCAATTCAAGAATGCACCAAAGCATATTGATAAAAGAGAATATTATATTGCAATGAAAAGTCTGCTGGTACAGGCAACCGTAGAGATGAATCTTACAGATATAATGTTGATCAAAAAAGCTAAACACAAATGAGTATATTCCGTATGATTTCACGCAAATGAAACTGGAAAGCAGGAAGAGCTAACACTTGCTGATGGAAGTCAGGGAGTAGGTGGTTATCTTTGGGGGTGTGCAGTGAGAGAGGCCACCAGGGAACCCACTGGGGACCTGAAAGTGGGTGGAACTGGGTAGCAACTCCATGGTCACATAGAGATGGACGCATCCACCAGCCACACACTCAGTAGTGGGCACCTCGCTACCTAAGTTATACATGCTTTATTTTTCTCATTGCTGAGACGAAATACCCGACACCCAAAGTTAAAAGGAAAAGGTGTATTTAGCCGGGTGTGGTGGCGCATGCCTGTAATCCCAGCACTCAGGAGGCTGAGGTAGGAGGATCCTTTCAAGTTTGAGCCCAGCCTGGGCTACAAAGTAAGTTCAAGGCCAGCCTGAACTGCATAGTGAGACCTTGTCTCAAAAAAAGACAAGAAAGAAAGAAAGAAAGAAAGAAAGAAAAGAAAGAAAGAAAGAAAGAAAGAGAAAGAAAGAAAAAGTTTATCTCATTTTGTAGACATTATTGTAGATAATAAAAAGTTTATTATCCCATTTTGTTTCAACCTATAACCACCTGGCTCCAAAGCAGCCTGGCATGGTGGACAGGCATTGAAGAGGTGGTGGCAGAAGGTAGCAAGGGATGGATCTTAACAGCATCTTGCAGCCTCTTCTATCCTATCCAGGCCGCTTAGGGCGGGCAACACTCACACCCTTAATCCTAGTGCCCTTGAGCTCCGCACTGCACCACAAATCAATCCCAGTCACACACTTAGATCCGGCCCCCTCCGAAAGTGTCCCACCTACAACCGCAGGAGGCTTTGGGGGACATCTGACACAGCCACAACACACATCAATGCAGGAGAAACGTCTGGGGGCACAGCTCGGGGGTGAGCTCGACATGTGCAGGCCTGGTTCAATCCCTAACACCAACAAGGATGGAGGGGAAAGAAGACCAATCCCGAATGACTTTATTTCTATGTTTTGGGGCGCTGAGGATTGAACCTGGGGCCTCGCACAAATGAGGCAAGCGTGCTGCCATCGAGCTGCACCTCCAGCCCCTGAAAGCGGTGTTGGCCCTGCAAGTGCAGCTTCAAGGCAGGTCCCCTGGCTGTCTCTCCGCCTCACCAGAGCACCTCTCTGAGTGGAATTCTGAGGCTCCCCTTGTGCAGAACCTTGGGGGCCTGGAGTGTGAATTTGGGGTTCTCTCAGTCTGATCTGTTGGGTCACGGAGTGGGGGGCATCCTTCGGGGATGGAGTCAGACCTGCCTGGCTCTGCCTGGGCCCATGTGTGTGAGTGCACGGGTCACCTCTGCGTAAGGGACCGAAACAGTCGTCTGCCAAGCCAGGACAGCTCGCAGCGGGCAAGGGGCCCCGTTCGTGTTGGCACGAGCCTCAGGCACACATAAAGGTGCCCCGCCGGGAGGTACGCAACGAGCTTCTTGATCTGAGAAGCACACACACTGGGACAAAGCACGACTTCAGTCTTTTGGGCAGGGCTGGGGTGCCACGGAAGGAAACGGGCAGAGAGAAGCCTGTGACCGGCCAGCGGCACGGAGCTGTTACACAGGAGGGCTCTTCAGGGAGCTGCACCTCCAGGCCACAGCCCAGCCGCTCCCCTGTGGCTCCCAGAATTGCTGTCCCTTCCCTGGAACTCCTAGGCCCGGCCTCCCTCCCCGGCTGTCGGGGCCCACGGTCCCCCCGACCCCGCTCCCTTTCCCAGAACTCAGTTGCCTGAGGCCCCGGCCTGCGGTTCTCTCCTAGGCCTCAGCCTTTCCTGCCTTCGGCTGAAAAGGCAGCACCTTCTAAGCTCTGGGGGCTTCCCCAAGCCCCAGCCCGACCTAGAACCCGCCCGCCGCCTGCCACGCTGTCACTGCCGCTTCCTCTATAAAGGGACTCAAGCGTCCCTCTGGGCCCAGGGCCCCGCACAGCAGGTGAGACTCTCCTACCCCATCTCCCGTCGCCTGACACCTCGGTCCCGCCCTGCAGCATCCTGCCCCTCCTGCTCCCCTTGCAGTCCGCCCGCCACTGCCTGGGCCCAGGTGGGTTTGGTTGGGGTTTGTTCCCCAGCGGCACCTCTTCATCTGCCTGCCTCTTTCTCTCTGTGCCTGCCACCGCTCTCTGCTTCTGTGCCATCCCTCTCTGCTCCCTTCCTGCCTCTTTTCTTCCCGCCCACCCCCTCACCCTGGGTCTGGCTGCCTGTGTCTCGGCCCTTCTCTGCTGCCCTCGCCACACGCGGCAGGCGGCGGGCAGGTGGGTGGGAGGTCTGTCTTCCGCCGTGCGCCCCGCCCCACTCACGTCTCTCCCCGCAGGCTCTCCCCATGTCACCACCTGGATGCCTCTACCTCCCGAGGGTGTGTGGCGCCCCCCTCCTCTTCCTCCTGGGGCTGCTGCTGCTCCTGCTGCTGCCTGGGGCCCAGGTGAGGCAGCAGGACGAGGGGGGCTGCTGGGGTGGCCCAGCCCGACCCGGGTCCCTGCAGACTTCTCAACTCTCTTCTCCCCTAGGGACTCCCCGGTGCTGGCCTGCCCCCCTCAGCCGCCCACACTGCCCGGAGGCATTTGGGCTATGGCTCCCTCAAACCCGCTGCTCACCTCGTTGGTAAACTTCCACCCGGCCTCCCCAGCTGTCCTCCTGTCCCCCCACCCAGGGACCCAAGTATCCACCCCTCCCAACTTCCCCCACCCCAAAGCCAGGGACCCCCGCCCCAATCCACCGTCCCTAGGAGCTCAGCTGTCCGGTGCCTGCTTCCTGGGGGTGGAGACCTCTGACCCGGATCCTTGACCCCACCCCACCCCATGGCTCTTCCTAGGAGACCCCAGAACAAAGAATTGGCTGCGCTGGAGAGCAAACTCAGACCAGGGCTTCCTCCTCAATGGCTTCTCCTTGAGCAACAACTCCCTCGTGGTCCCCGCCAGTGGCCTCTACTTCGTCTACTCCCAGGTGGTCTTCTCCGGGCACAGCCACTCCCCCAAACCTCTCTACCTGAGCCACGAGGTCCAGGTCTGCACCTCCAGGTACTCCTCCCACCTGCCTCTGCTCAGCGCCCATAAGAATGTGGATCCAGGGCCCGAGGGACACTGGATGCGCTCCATGTACCAGGGAGCGGTGTTCCTGCTCACCAAGGGGGACCAGCTGTCCACCCACACCGAAGGCGTCCCCTACCTCTTCGTCAGCCCCAGTAGTGTCTTCTTCGGAGCGTTCGCTCTGTAGAACTTGGAAAAACCCAAAAAGGAAAATAATTTTGGGTTTCAAGGCCTTCTCCATTCTGACCATTCCGAGGGTCACCGCCACCCCTCCTCTGCCCCTCCCAGCAGCTCAAGTCTCCCCCACTCAAGTCACCCAGAGCTTTGGCAGCAGGACCCAGGCACTCCTGGGATCAGGCTCCCAAGAACCCGCCTGCTGGCCTAGGTGGGCCCGGACCCGGCCGTGGAGGAAGGACGCTGGCCGGATGGCTGGAGGCAGGGAAGGAGGACTATTTATGAAGGAAACTTTAAGTTATTTATTTATGGAGCCTGGAGAGAGGCCCCAGAGACAGAGCTCGAGGAGGCCGTCAGCGCTGAGAGAGCAAGGACGGTCTGGGTGGCTGAGGGGCTCTGGAAGGAAGCGAGAGGCTCTGCAGTCAGCCGCTGCTTCGCCCGACACCCACGAGGAGCCACCTGCACCCGGATGAAGCCCAATAAACCTCCTTTCTCTGAAACGCCGTCTGCCCGTGTCTGTCTGGGGCGGGAGAGAATTTCCAGGTCTCCCTAGGGGACAGAGGGGAGAAGGAGGCAGGAAGGGGCCGGGGAACTGATGCAGGGCCCTCATAGGGGCCAGGCAGCTTGACTCTGCAGGGGACAGGGAGCCAAAGGGAAATGGGAAAGTGGGCTGGACCCCGGGGAATGGGGCCTGAGGCCTCTGGGAGCTGCGGGCTCACTGCGGGCTGAGTGAGGAGGGCTCCCCCAGGTTTCCGGGCAGCGGGTCCACACGGAGGGAAGGGTCGCATATGGAGCCCTCGGGGAGACACAGACCCTGAGGAGCCTCCGGCACTAGTGGGTCTGGGACACAGTGGGCATCTGAGGAAGCAAGGCCACATGAGGCGCAGCTTTGTGAGAGACACCTGGGCCTTCATTGTTCCTTGGAAGCCAAGATTGAAAGCAGCAGTGTGAGACTCGGGTCAAAATGAAAGTAGAAGGTCGGCCCCATGGGGTCCGTGAATTCCCAGGGCTGATTTCACTCCTTCTGGGGCTGTCCCAGACTTGTCCCCCACCCCAGGCCTCCAGACTCTGGGTGTGTGCAGGCAGTCTCAAGCTGCCCCGTCCCCAGTTCCTTCCCTAGGAGCCCACCCTGTGGTCTCTCCCTCCACTTTCTGTTTTGTTTTTGTGTGTTTGAGACAGGGTCTCGCTATGTACTCCAGGCTGGTCTTGAACTCACTATGTAGCCAAGGGTGGCCTTGCATTCTCAAGGATCCTCCTGCCTCAGCCTCCTGCATGCAGGGATCATAGGTGTGCACCACTATGCCTGGCTAAGACTCCACTTTCTGAAGCCCATCCCATATCATGTTTTATCCTCCTGTGAGTCCCATGTGGAAATCAGAGGGAAACAGGTCCCCCAGTGAAACAGAGATAATTAACACTGGAAGGCAGGGGAAACTGGGGTCCAGCTTCCAGGGTCCTACATTCACAGTGGCAACTGCCCAAGAAGTTCGCCTCCGCATCCGGGTGGGGAGGTGAGGAGGATCCTGGATGCCTGGGTCTCCCCAACTTTCCAAACGCCCGCCCCCGTGGTGGAGAAGAAACCGAGACAGAAGGTGTAGGGCCCACTACCGCTTCCTGCAGATGAGCTCATGGGTTTCTCCACCAAGGAAGTTTTCCGCTGGTTGAATGAGAGTCTTTCCCCGCCCTCCTCTGGCTGCAGGCTATAAAGGCAGCTGTCTGCACACCAGCCAGCAGAAGTTCCTTCTGCGAGGACACCAGGGACCAGCTAGGAGGGCGAGAAGCGCCTCCAAACCTGGAAATAAGCCCACACACTCCAGACAGGCGGGTTCCGTCCCTCTCACACACACTGCTCCCGGACTCCACAGCTCCCTCTGCAAAGGACGCCATGAGCACAGAGAGCATGATCCGGGATGTGGAGCTCGCGGAGGAACAGCTCCCCAGGAAGGCAGGGGGCCCCCAGGGCTCCAGGCGGTGCTGGTGCCTCAGCCTCTTCTCCTTTCTGCTTGTGGCAGGAGCCACCACGCTCTTCTGCCTGCTGCACTTCGGGGTGATCGGCCCCCAGCAGGAAGAGGTAAGTCCTCCTGTGCTCTGACCTGGCTGAAAAGAGGGGAGGAGAGCGAGAGAGACGGGGTAGGGAAAGGGGTGCGCTGACAGGAGGGCCGGGTTGCCGGGGGGGAGAACATGGCGGAAGATGAGGAGGCAGCAAGAGGTGTGGAGAGCCGGGGAAGAGAAAGACAGAGGCAGGACATCCCCCACACACGCTAGTATTCAGCCAATAAATGAATGAATGAGCGAGAAGATAAACACATAGAGAGATGGGGAGGGAGATAGAGGATGTGGGCAGAGGGATGGGGAAGAAATAAGTGATAAAGATGGCCAGATAGAGATGTGGAGGTAGAGATAAAGGCAGACAAGCGAGGCGAAGAAGGCTGTCCGGCCCACTCACGGGGCTTCCGGGTTGCAAGTGAGAGAGACGCAGAGTGGACGAGTGGATGAACGAATGAACGAATGGAGACAGAACGGCAGCCACGGAGCCCACGCTGGAGAAGCGGCCCGCAGTTCTCCGTGGGGACAGCTCCTGCCATGCTAACCTTCTCCTTCTCCCCACAGTTCTCCGGTGGCCCCCCTTTCAGACCGCTGGCCCAGACACTCACGCTCAGTAAGTTTCTCCAAAGTCTCTCTCCTAAACCTGGGTTGGGGTGGCAGAGTTGGTCCTGGGATGGAAGCAATGGGGGAACTTTATAGAGTTTTGGGTTTTCGGGGGGAGACGAAATGAAAGGCAAAGAAGACATTTTCCGGGAAGTTTAAGGATCTCACATTTTTCCCCTCCTCTTTTCTCCACAGGATCAGCTTCTCAAAACGGGAACGACAAGCCCGTAGCTCACGTTGTGGGTAAGTTCTCTGAGCACATGTCTTGGGATGAAGGAGCAGATGGGACGCAGAGGGACAGGATGTGGGGCTGCCCGGGCTGAGAGCAGGCGGGCCTTGGAGACAGGGTGTAAGGGACCCACGGGGAGGGCAGGGGAACAGGCCGAGCTTGAGGGGGATACACCCAAATGGGATGTGGGGAGGCAGGAGAAACCGGAAGTGGAAGTGGTGGGCAGAGCTTGAGGGCCAGGACGTGGAGAGCGAACCAACAGGGTCACACTGACTCACTTCTCCCTCCCTCCCTCCAGCAAACCAACAAGCACGGGAGGAGCTCAAGTGGCTGAGCAAGCGTGCCAATGCCCTCTTGGCCAATGGCATGGATCTCAGCGACAACCAGCTGGTGGTGCCGGCGGACGGGCTGTACCTCATCTACTCCCAGGTCCTCTTCAAGGGCCAAGGCTGCCGCTCCTACCTGCTCCTCACCCACACCGTCAGCCGCTTGGCCGTGTCCTACCAGGACAAGGTCAACCTCCTGTCTGCCATCAAGAGTCCCTGCCAGAAGGAGACCTCAGAGGGGGCCGAGCTCAAGCCCTGGTACGAGCCCATCTACCTGGGAGGCGTCTTCCAGCTGCAGAAGGGTGATCAACTCAGCGCTGAGGTCAACCTGCCTGAGTATCTTGACTTCGCCGAGTCGGGGCAGATCTACTTTGGAGTCATCGCCCTGTGAGAAGGACAGACGTCCATCCATCCCTCCCCCTACAGTTCCTTTTATTATTCTCTCCTTCGGGTCCCCTCATCTTCTTCTGGCTCAGAGAGGGAAATAGGGAGTCAGGGCCAAACCCCAAACATGGAAGTTTCAACAATACCACCGCTCAGAAGCCCGGGGGGCAGGGACGTGCGGTACAGACCATGGGGTACTCACTAACCACCACCAAGAATTTACACTGGTGCTTCCGGCACTCACGGGGGCTCACGGTTTGGACCCCTGAATTCAATTTGGGACATCTGGAAGGTGAGGTCCGGGAAGCCTCTGGCTCGGAACACCCCTTGGGAAGACCTCACCTAGACCTTGACATGAGTGACCCCCCCAGGCCTTGCTCTCTTCAAATGCTTCTGGAATCTTCCCTGAGCTCCCCGCACCACGTAGGGCCAAGCCCCTCTATTTATGATTGCACTTGTATTTATTATTTATTTATTATTTATTTATTTACTGATGAATGTATTTATTTGGAAGGTTAAGAGTGTTTAGGGGCCTGCCACAGGAGCAGCCTTGGGCCAGACATGTTTTCTATGAAAACAGAATGAACTGTAGGCTGTTCCCACCTGGCCTCTCCCCGGCCTCTGTGCCTTCTTTTGCTTTTGTTTAAAATGAAGTATTTATCTAACCCAGTGTCTTAATAATGCTGATTTGGTGACCAACTGTCGCTGCATCGCTGAAACTCTGCTCCCCAGGGGAGCTGTCTGTAATCGCCCTACTGGTCAGTGGCGAGAAATAAAGATTGCTTAGAAAAGAAACACGTTCTCTGGCATGGACTTCCTTCTGCGTCTGTCTCTCCCTGAGGGTGGGAAGCCACACGCTGAAGACCTCTCATGGGCGTTAGATGTCTGGACCCAGACCCAGTCCTCAGTCTCCCAGAGCCCAGGAGTCCCTTCACATCACGGTGCAATACCCTCCCTGCGCCAGGGAACAGGAGCCAGCCCCTAATTACCTTTCCCTCAGGGCCTGGGAACTTCCCGCTCTGGGAATTCCAAATCCCTGTTGGGAAAGTACTGCAGCTCTTTCCAGCTATTGTGGCCGGGAGGAGCCACATTCTCTGGTAACTGAATCACAGCCAAGGGACTTCCAGAGGTTCAGGTGTCTGGGCCGCACATCCCTGGATCCCAGCCACCACCGCCCCTAACCCTGTCCTAACTGTGCAGCTGAACCAGTCAACCTCAGCTGCCAAGGGGGCAGGATGCCCACCACACTTGGGCCCGGGGGAGAAGAGGAGACCCAGCCTCCGTCACAGCCCAGCTTGGCACTGGGCACGGTAGGCACTCAGTAAATTCTACCTACTTCCTTATCCTGCGGCCAGCTGTCTGTCTCCTGACCTCTCAGTGGATGAACTTCAAGAGACTAAAGAAAATTTTAAAAAACAAAGAATGGGAGTTGGGGGTGCAGCTCAGTGGAACAGCTCTTGTTTAACATATGTAACACCCTGGGTTCCATCCCCAGCACTGCAAACCCAAAAACCAAAAAACCTCAAGGAATAAGATGTGGGTGAATGACCCAGTTATCATCTTGATGTCACTGATCTTTTTAGAGATGGATGAGAGGTGTGAGCTAGTAAACTGGAAAGAGAAAAGCATCCCTGGTAAAGGCAAAATCACTCGCCGGGTGTGGTGGCACCTGACTGTAATCCCAGAACTCAGGAGGCTGAGGCAGGAGGATTGCTGTGATTTCCAGACCAGCCTGGGCTATGAAGTGAGCTCAAGGCCAGCCTGAACTATCTCAAAAAGAAAAACAAAAAAAATTAGTCAAAGGCAAATGCTAGGCCCTGGGCTTAATCCTCAGCACCCACACACACACACACACACTTGATAAAATATTATAAAGATTTTATTCAAGGTCGTGGCTAGTGGCACAGGGATTGCTGCAGTTGGGAAGGGACGAGGCTCAGCTCCAAACAGCATGGGCAAGTGGGAACGGAGAGCCACGGGAGAGTGGGGGGGCCAGTGATGGAAAATGACTATGACAGAAAAAGCATTGGGGGAGGATTCTGCTTAAGATCTGATAGGGTGCTGAGAAAGCCCAGGGTGATCGGCCCCACCTGGAGGAGCGTGGAAGATGAGGACCCTGACCAGATATGGGAGGTGATCGGATTCCATGGGAAGAGTAGTGGATTTTCACAAAACGGACCTAGCAGGGTTATTTGCTAAAACTGAATTTTACAAGGAAGTGTACGCAGGCCCATAGGAGAAGATCCAAAAGCCCAGTTAAGGTTTGGTCAAGCAAAGAATCATTGTAACCCACCCACCCATTGAGATGGCTCTGCTGGACACAAAACCAAGGAGGAGACATTGGGCTGGTGGTGCACATCTGTAATCCCTGCAGTTAGGACGCTGAGGCAGGAGCATCACAGAGAGAGAGAGAAAGGAAGGAAGAAAAAGGAAGGAAAGAAAGGGAGAGAGAGACAGAACTAGAGATCAAAAACAAATATGGAGTCAGACAAGGAGCCCCAAAGAAAAGGAAGCCCCAGGCACAGAAGTCAGGCTTTCCTTCGTGGTGGGTGCCAGGCAGGGGAAAACCAGCCCTGTGGTATGCTGCCAAGGTGGGTGACCCATTGCGGTGACCTAGATAGGGCCTTGGGTCCCCTCTACTTCCTCCAGCCTGGGCCCCAAAGTGGGTCAGGATGTGGGGCAAGTCCTGTCACTCATACGTGCCCGCTTTGGGAAGGAGGTCCGTGAGCAGGCACGAAGGGCGAGGAGGTTCCATTGCTCCAACCCGCGGCCTCAGTTTCCCGGGTTCGGCCTGGTGTCTGCAGGGTCCGCAGGCTCCTGCCTCCTGCCTGTACCCCTTTAACCCCCGCTGCCATTCCAGAAGAGCTGCCTGTGGTTAGGGGGAGGGCTCTCGGGTCCCAGCAGAGCACAGCTGCTGGACCGGCCAGCGCGGCCCTGGGCCACACTGGGGCTCCCTGTGCGTGTCTGAGCCTCGCCTTCCTCCCGAGGACGACCCCTGTCGCGGTGGGGCAGAACCGGAGCGGGGTTTGGGCCCTGAGATGCCCGGGCTTGGAAGAAGGCCTCGCTCCTGCGGGGGCCTGGCATCGGGAGGCCAGGGTGGGGCAACCACCAGGGCTGGGAGCAAAGGCTTTTCAGGGTCACCGATGCCTTCGAGCAATGGGAAAAAAACTGGAGACCAGCGACCCCACGCGAGCACGCCCCAAGGA